GCAAAAGCTTTTTATCTTGATGAAGTCCCAATAGTTCATTTTTGCCCTTGCTTCCCTTGCCTTTGGCGATGTTTCTAGAAAGAAGTTGCTTCGGCTGAGGTCAAAGAGGTTGCTGCCTGTGTTCTCCTTTAGGATTCTGATGGACTCCTGTCTCACATTGAGGTCTTTCAACCATTTGGAGTCTATTTTTGTGTGTAGTGTAAGGAAATGGTCCAGTTTCATTCTTCTGCATGTGGCTGTCCAATTTTCCCAACACCATTTGTTGAAGAGACCTGAGGCTCCTGTCTTATATGTCTCTGCCTCTGAGTCCCCCCACGTTTTCCCCAAAGATTTAATTAATTAATTAATTTAGAGTGCGAGCCAGGGGAGGGGCAGAGCAGGAAGGAGAGAGAGAATCTCAAGCAGACTCCCTACTGAGTGCAGAGCCCAACTCTGGGCTCAATCTCACAACCCAGAGATCATGACCTGAGATGAAATCAAGAGTCAGACACTTAACTGACTGAGCCACCCAGGAGCCCCTCTGAGTCCCCTTTTTTATTCAGGACATAATTTTACCTGGCTTCAGGTGTGGCTGGTTCCAGGGTTCATATGACAGAGGCCCTATACTCTCTTTGCTTTTTTTTTTTTTTTGGTCGTGTGGTTGCTGATTTTACTCAGCCTGGCTTTTGTTCTCAGATTCACAAAGGTCGGAGCTGTGATGTCCACTCTGCACATGAGGACACTGAAGCCTACAGAGATCAGGTCATTTCCCGGCAGAAACGGGTCTGTGCACTTCTCCACCGCCCCCACGGCGCCCCCTGGCGCCCCCAGGCGGCGGCGCATCTCTCTCAACGTTCCTTGCCCCGTCAGGGCGCCCTCTGCAGCTCACCCAGAGAGTTACGCGGATCCCTGCACCAGCCGCGTCCTCCCTCCATTCCTCTATTTCAACCCATCCTCTTCCACACCCGCTGCGCCCCGACACCCAGTTCCCACCCTGCTACTCCGAAGCCAATCTCTCTGACAGTCTCGCTGCACAGGAATGATAAAAGGCAAAGAATTATTACTATTATCACTGTTGTTATTACCCACGTTATTGTTAATGTTGTTATTTTCCCATTCCACTCCTTTCTTCTCTGGGAACTGATGGTGGGGGGGGGGGTTCTGCCTCCTATCCTCTCTATCTGGTTCTCATGGCGCCCCCATGAGGATGTAGACCAAGATCAGGGTTGCTGCGATTGACAACTTCGTGGCTCTCCCTGGTGGTATGATGCGCTTGGGGTGATAGGTTTGCCCACACAGGGCCCCAGGGACCAGGCTGGGGGTCGTCAGGGTTCCGCCTGGTTTACAGTTCCACAAAGATCCCAGGCTAGCATTCCCTGTGGTCTCCAGGCCTGGTGAGCAGGAAGGAGTGGATGTTTCCTAGTGTCTATTCTGGCTGCCCCAACAGAACCTTGCCCTGGGAGGGGCTGTGACATTCTGCTGTTTTGATAAAAAGGTACGAAGCTGGGCTCTAGAAAAAGATTAAGGGCTCCTTGGGACTGCTCCTCAGGCTGCCACCTGCCCCCAGGTGAGCTCTGGGGTTGGCTTAAGGGAATGAGAGTGAGTCTCTGGAGCCCGAAGTATGTTCCAAGCCTGCAGTTGTCTCCTGAGAGTAGGGCCCTCCTGAGGGTCTCACTGCATTAAATGCTCAGATTCTTGCTGTGGGCGCTGAATGAAACCAGTTCTGCCATACTGGTCCCGATTGATTGGACCAAGCATCACTGGCCATGTACAGTCTGGATACAAGGGAGGGACATTCTTCTGCAGTGACTTGGCATATAGCTCTGTTGGATAGGGATGCTTTATGTTGAGTGATGTCAAATAGATTCAATCAGATGGTCCTGTACCAGAGGTTGCTGGCCTCCTCCCATTAACCAACTCCCTTTTACCTTAATAAGGGGGGAGGGAAAGGTAATAAGGATACAAACCCTTAATTAATGAGATTTATAGGGTAATTTAAGTACCTGCGAAGATTTTTGTTGTTAGGTCATACAATTGAAGTTTTTTTTTTTAATCTATAAATGCAGTTTAAAATGTTTCCCCTCCCCAAAAGTTTAGTAAAACGTAATAAAAAGATGTTTAAGTATGCCCATAGGAATTAACATGTCCTGAAATGGTTTGTGTGGGGAGCATTGATGGCAGTTATTTACATATATTACCTTATTGAAAGCTCACAGCAGCCCTATGGAGAGGAAACGTTTCATATCCTCACATTACAGGTGGAGACACCGAGGTGTAGTTAGGGGCCATCCATATGTACGACTACTTGTAACACTATTGCAAGTTCAAGGTACTTAAGACAACCCTTAGTTTCCATCATTCACTGGAAGGACTCATATAACGCATTAGAAGCTATTATCCTTGTGGTTAGGGCTCGTTACAGCTTGAGGATACGGATTAATGTCAGTGAAGTGGGGAAAGGGCCTGGGCAGGGTCCAGGGGCTCCCCCATGTCTCTCCAGCAGAGTCATGAGTCATGGACAGCATTAGCTCCTCCCATACATTGGTGTATGACAGTCTGCTGACCAGGGAAGCTCACCTGAGACTTGACATCAGAGTTTTTATTGGGGTTCTTTCACATAGTTATGATCACTGCTCACATAGCTGACCTCAGTCTCCACCTTCTCCAGGGGCAGAGCTGATTCCATGTGACCGAAAGCCTTCATCATAATTCCCACTGTGGAACATCTAGTGTTTTCCAAGTCCCCCCCACCCCCCCCAAGGTAAATACAGACACTCTTATCAGGCAGGGCATTCTAAGGACTTAGACATTCCTTCTAGGAGTCAAGGACAAAGTCAGATCTGTCTTTGGTTAAGGTTAAATTCTTTACTACAAAAGTCCATTTCTCGGACCCATCTAGGTCCACAAATGGTACTGACGATTTTTCATACTGTTGTATGAAAAAGAGGAAACACTGAAAGAATCTAAATGCTCCCAAATGGGGTATGAGTTGAACAAAAGAATCCATGGCCAACACAGTGGAATAGTATGCAGCCATGAACAAAGACCAATGAAGATACAGGAGGAAGGGCTTCCGATGAGCTGCAGGCAGAAAAACAACTCTGTGTGTTTTCTGGGGGCACCACTTATACTCAAATACTGAGGAGGACCAATTTAACAATTTCAGTGGTATGTAATGTATTATTTTCCTATTAAAATAAATACAGATGTGCTTTGCAGTAGGCTGCAAATATTCATATGGATTTTCAGAATACAGTAGGAGACTTCAGAGATATTGAATGAATCACTAGACACACTGGAGTGTATATTCACCCTTCTCTGACTAAACTTGGGTTTAACATTAGAGAAGCCCAAATAAGGATGTTGAACGGTATGATACCACCTTGGTAAAAATATGCATGTGTGCATGAGTATGTTTGACATATCAAAACTGAAAAGTTCCAGAGAAAAACACTGGATATATCTTCAGGTGGTCTAACTATTACAGGTGACTTTCCAATAGTATTAATCAAATTCTGATAAATAATTGTGTATTTTATTTATGAAATATTTTATTGATTTATAAATGCAAAATGTATGAATGTATAAATATTTATGTGTATATTTCAATAATTATTGTAAAATATTAATATTGTTACATATATATTTTGGTAAGTATTCATAAAAATTGAAAACAATTTAATTACTAAAACAGTATTAATTCTATTTTTCCTTCTTTTTTTTTTTTAAGATTTTATTTATTTGACAGAGCACAAGCAGAGGGAGAGAGAGGGAGAAGCAGGTTCCCTACTGAGCAAGGAGCCCGATATGGGACTCGATCCCAGGACCCTGGGATCATGACCTGGGCCGAAGGCAGCCGCTTAACCGACTGAGCCACCCAGGCGTCCCTCTATTTTTCCTTCTTAAGAATTTTCCAAAAATTCCTATAGCCAATGCATTGCTTTTGCAATTAAAGTAGTATTTGTTGTCATGAAAATGAAAGACGAACATACTTCCGAGTCCAGCTTGAAAGATTTGTCGAATGACCCTTTCTGGGATGCCGCCCCCTCTCCCCTGCCTTCTCAGTCCCTCACCCAGCCCACCTGGGTCTCTGTGTCTCCATGTCTCTCTTTCTCTCCGTGGGGTCCCCAGAAGCAGATACATCACACCTGCTCAGCGCCGCGTCCCCCATGAGCAGGCTCTGCTCTGCTCCAGCAGCACTTCTATTACTGAGCCTAAAGGTCCAACACCAAGACAATGGGTTTTATACATTTTGGCTCAGGCACACAATAGCATGCCCCACAGCCACTCCAAATGGCCAGGTGGTGGAAGATTTGCTGATCCGGGGAGAGACTTAGAATAAGCTATCAGTGTTCAGGGAGGGGGAAACTGCCCCGCGACAAATGAGATAATGTAATTTAAAATTTGAGATCTGCAGGGAGTAGGAAAAGCAAAAATGAACAACTGTCCCACATTTTTAAAAAGTCTGATGTCCGGGGTGCCTGGGTGGCTCAGTCGTTAAGCGTCTGCCTTCGGCTCAGGTCATGATCCCAGGGTCCTGGGATCGAGCCCCACATTGGGCTCCCTGCTCTGCGGGAAGCCTGCTTCTCCCTCTCCCACTCTCCCTGCTTGTGCTCCCTCTCTCGCTGTGTCTCTCTTTGTCAAAGAAATAAATAAAATCTTAAAAAAAAAAGTCTGATGTCCTGTATTTATTGTGCTTTTCAGTATTTTCCAGTTTTCCTAAAAGTGAGCATAAGATTTTTTTTTTTGTAACCAGGGCAGAACAGTATAATAATATTTTAAAAGAATGAGGTGAAAAAATGATAAGCTAAAGGCACCTTAAAGTCATAAAGATAACAACAACTCCCCAAGCGTCTCCTCCCCAGCTCTGCCTGTGCTGGGGTTCAGAGTCCACCCTGGGGCGCAGGAGGGGGAGGGGGACCAGCAGCTCAGACAGAGCCAGAGACGCAGGTCTGTGAAGAGGCAGAGGAGGCTGCCCGGTCCCCGGACAGATGCCTATCCCTGGAGGACCTGCGCAACCCATGGAACTTTCCAGACCCAGGTGCAGACTCTGGAGGGAGCTGGTTCTCCTGGGTAAGAGAGCTGAACCCGCAGGACAGGGGAGCAGTAGAGGAAAGGGGGGCAGGACTGGCACCAGGACTTTCGTGAGCTCACATACCTGGGCATACCTCGCCCATAGACACACTCTCTCTCTCTTACGCACATACACACACACACAGAGTGTTCATCCCCATCCATCCCCAGGAATGATAAACTTGGACCCCCTCCCACACTTGCCAGAAATCACCTCCTCTGGGTGCCTCCTCTGCCCTGATCCCCTCCCCTCCCAACCCCTCATCCCTCCAGGACCCTCTGAACCCCCCTGACGGGGACAACTATCATGTCTCACTGGCCACGCTGTGTCCTGTCCTCAAACATCACCAGTGTCTACACCTGGAGGCCTAGAGCGGGGGGTCTCAGGTGTCTTTGCCTCCTCCATGGAGCCAAGGCTTAGGGTCCACAGACAGTGGATCTCCGTGTCTTAGGTGATGACAGATCCTCACCCACATTCACATGCACTCCACAGAATTTAGATGCTTTCAAAGACATGTGTAGACAGTCTTGGGGGATTTATCCACCCAGATATCAACTGAGTTCTCCCGCTGGGTTCTGCCCCATGCTCAGGGACGCTGTGATGTGGTGTCCAGTGTGAGATGCAGATCTATCTCCAGACTCTGATGACCCAGATGGGGATGAGATGAGGGGACCTAGGAGACTGGGGGAGCCCCAAGGGGCCGTCTGACCCAGATTGGGGAGGAGAGGACATCAAAGCTGAGAACTGAAGGCTGAGGAGAAGTGAGTTGACAGGGCGGTGGGGGGAGGCAGGGGATGGGGAGGAGGGAAGAGGGATCTGTGTGCCAGAAACAGGGAACAACATGTGTGAAAGCCTGAAGTCAGGAGAGAGTGTGGTGTATCAAGAGAGCTGTCTGTCTGGGGCACACAGTGTAGATACTGTCTTCTGATAAATGAATGCACAAATGCATGCATGAATGGATGACTGAGTGGAGGGTTCATGGTGTAATGGGGTGGGGTGTGTATGATCCAAAAGGAGGCTAGATGAGTCATAAAAACCAGCTGTTCCTAAGAGTGTCTCATAAGCCATGTTGAGTTTGAACTTTATCCGTAGAGTGCTGGGGAGCCATGGAAGGTACCTAAGAGAACAGGATCACAACTGGGGCTTTATAAGGATCCACATAACTGTTCTATGAGGTTGGGTTGGAGACTGAGTGTCCAAGGAGGAAGCCAGGCTGGAAGGAGATGAGGAAGGAATGAACCAGGACAGGGGCTGAGGGGGTAGGGAGGAGAAGACAGGCTGGGGAGCTAGCAACCAATGGCATGCTCACCAGTGTCCCTGGAGATCATTTCCTGGACAGTGTAAATCAATCTCTCTTCTCTCTCTCTCTCTCTCTCTCATGTATGTGTGTTCTATTTGTCTTCTTCAGCTGGTCTACTGGCCTGTGGGATCCGCCAAGCCTCTGGCCAAATCTACATCAGCCCAGACTCACTCACAGGGTTCAAGGGATTTCGGACCATCCTGATCCTTGAAAATGCCACCAAAGATGCTCAGGAATACAGCTGGCACCGCGGTGCAAATGACACTGTGGATAATATGATTGTCAGCTACAAACCTCCCTCCAATTCCTGGCAGACGGGGCCCATGTCCAGTGGTCGGGAGAACGTGACCAAGATAGGTGACCTGGTGATCAGGAGATGTGCATTAAATGACACAGGGAATTATACCGTGAGGGTGGACACTGGCAATGGGACCCAGACAGCAACTGGCTGGCTCGACATTCAAGGTGAGTTGGCAGGTTGCCCATTTCCAGACCTGGGGGCTTTGGGAGTGAGGTCCCTGGGAGATCATACTGTCCAAGTCTCCTCCACCCCCAGGTGACTGTGGGAACCTCGGCAGATGGTAGTCTAGCTTCTCCCGCAGAGATGGGTCACTCGTTCCCTTCAAGGCCTCCAGTTTCACCATCAGGGTATCAGTTATGTTCTGCTGCATAACAAAGATCCACAAACAGCAGTTTCAAACAGCACCCATTTATTAGCACACATTCCTGTGGGTCAGAAGTCTGGGCGAGTGCTGTGCTCTGAGACTCACAAGGTGCTGAGTTGGGGCTGTGGTCTCATGTGTGGCTCTGTCTGTGGGTATTTCACATCATGACTTTGCTTCTTCAAGGTCAGCTGAATTCTTTCTCTCTAGTCTGCTAAGAAGGAGTCTTATATGACATAAGGGTAACGATTGGAATGACAATCCATCACTTTTGCCGTATTGTATAGGTTAGAAGAAAGTCATGGGCTTCACCCACATTTGAGGGGTGGGGATTATACAGGCTGGAGATCATGGGGCCATCTTGGAATTCTGTCTACTACAGACAGCTCCTGGGGGCTCCACAGGGCTAGCGGGGAGAGTGTGTATTTGGAGACAGGAAGCCCTGTGTTTACCTCTGACTATGTATATGTTCCATGGCCCTGAGCCTTCATCTTCCCTCTGTGGTGTTCTGTTTCCTCATCTGTAGAATGGGGATAGTATCTACCACTGTCTGTTGTAAGGTTGGAGGGAGTATCTGTCAAGTGAATGGAACTCAGATAATGGGAGCAATTATTTTTTTTTTAAAGATTTTTATTTATTTATTGAGAGAGATAGTGATAGAGAGCATGAGAGGGGGAGAGTCAGAGGGAGAGGCAGACTCCCCGCCGAGCAGGGAGCCCGATGCGGGACTCGATCCCGGGACTCCAGAATCATGACCTGAGCCAAAGGCAGTCGCTTAAACAACTGAGCCACCCAGGTGCCCCAATGGGAGCAATTATTAATAGAGAGTCCAAATGCCACCTGTCACTCAATTCTACCCATGGCTCCTCAGTTGGGGGTGTTCTGGTTTTAGGTTCTGCATTCAGAAACAACCATTAGGCCACATGCCTATCCCAAGAGCTCACCATTATTGCAGTGGATGCCACAATGACGACTCCACACATAGGATGGTGGGCTCAGGCTAGTTCCCACACCTCAACCACTCATGCCCATTCCCTACTTCTCTGTCCCTCACAGCTCTAGGGCTGCTCCCCTTCCAAGACCCCAGACCCCATACAACCCTTGCCTTCTCACCAACCTACACTGAAAGCCCCTTTGGAGAGGAGCAGAGCTTGGGGAGGCAGACCCCACCCCTAATGTCTTCTTCCTGCTTCCCCCAGAGGCGGAAGGCAAGCCAGGCATCTGGGCCAACGCCAGCTCTCTGGTAGAGGACATGGATGCTGTGGCTGCCATTTGCCACACCAATGCCACCACGGTCAAGTGGTATGTGGATTACACACTGGTGTCCAGCAATGACCGGATGACAATCTCCCCGGACCTCAAGACCCTCATCATCCACAGGGTCAGCCGCTATGACAGAGCACTTCACTGCGAGATAGAAAGCATCCCAGAGATTTTTCAGAGAAGTGAAATTATCTCTCTGACTGTGGCCTGTGAGTGTTCTGGAGCCATGGGAGTAATGCTGGGGGTGGGCTCAGGGCCTTCCAAGGATGTAGCAATAAGACAGGCAGAACTGGAGAGAGGAAACACCATGAGCCAGCCCACAGCCAGCTGGATCTGGGTTTGAATCTTAGCTCTCTGGACTTAAAATCACCCTCACTGCACAGAACGATCTGCTATTTAAAACAGAGATCCTGATTCTTACTCTTCAGATTAGAAATAGTGCGAAATTGTTCAGATCTGGCTTTTGTAAAGACGGGGCTGCTTACAACTAATAGTTTCTTAAAAATGACATTCAACTTATTAAATATTCAAATCCCATGTTCCCTTGAGCCTTCAAATACATTGATCTTTTTATTCTGGTTTTCTAAATTTAGTAAAATCACCTTCACTTTTCTTCTTACTCAGATTGAACTGACTATACTCCCTTAAACAGACAGTTTGATTTGATTTTATTTTATCTATTTATTTTTTTAAAGATTTTATTTGTTTATTTGACAGAGACATAGCAAGAGAGGGAACACAAGCAGGGGGAGTGGGAGAGGGAGAAGCAGGCTTCCCGCCGAGCAGGGAGCCCGATGCGGGGCTCGATCTCAGGACCCTGGGATCATGACCTGAGCCGAAGGCAGCCGCTTAATGACTGAGCCACCCAGGCGCCCCAGACAGTTTGATTTTAAAGCGAAATGACACATTTCATGCATTCTCTTTTCTCCACGGTCCTTCGGCCTCCCCCCAAGGCAAGTACACAATCCAGCCAGACCTCCCCAGAAATCTCAAACAGGTCTTGTAAATCGAAGACTCTGACTTATAAATACAATGAACCTTGGATCTTTTCAATGTTCTGGGACTTCTCACATTGACCAAACTCTTTCACATCTTTCAACTGTGAAAAAGCACAAGTCTTGAATGGTTTTCACATCTAAATCTAGAACCACACAAAGTCTGTCAGGTTTCCCAACAAACACGCTCTGGCAATCATACAGAAAAAGTGGTCACAGAGCAGGCAGTTTCTGACCTCCATACACAGCTTACTGGCTGGAGGTTTGCAACCAAGAGCCAGGACCCAGGGCCTGCCTCTGCAAGGAGATTCCTCCCAGGCCATAGGGGGAATTCACTTAGTCCCTTTGTGGGTCAGTAGGGAACTATGAAATCCCTAATCCTCTCTTTGGGACCCCACTTCCCTCATCTATAAAATCGATCACATGGGTTGTTATGGGGATTAAGCAAATGTGTGAACCTATAAAGTGTTTAGAACAGAGCCCAACATGCAGGGAGCCTGATGTATTGCTTCTATTCCTATTTTATTGTGACATGAAGGGCAGTCATGGGGCTGACTCATAGCAGGTGCTTGATAATGGAAAATGTTACAATTATAGTCATGTTGTTGGCAGAGCTGCCTTGCAAGTGTTGGGTCTAGGGGATGCTTGGGGTGCAAAGTGGGGGCACCTGGTTGGGGAGGACTATGTGTGGATTGACAGAAGGAGACAGGACACCAAGGGGTCAGAAACATAGCTCCGGGTCTCCTGCCCTGTCTCTGCAGATGGGCCAGACAACGTGCAGCTGAGTTCCAGTCCCATTATCTCCAAAGGCGTCCTGTCTGCTAAGATCGGCTCCCAGGTAATGATGGAGTGTAGCGCCACTTCCAAACCCAGTCCCAAGTACCAGTGGATCCACAGTGGCTCCCTCCTGAGCTTCTCAGAGGCAAACGTCACTCTCCCAAGTCTGGCCTGGGAGCAGATGGGCAGATACAGATGCATCGTGGGGAACCCTGTGACCCAGCTGACCATGTACAGGGAATTCCAGATCCAGCCACTCCGTGAGTACAGCCCCCCACCTCCAGGGCTCACGATCCCCAAATCTTCCCATCTCCATGCTTTTGCCTAGGCAGTACCCATCATCACGAATGCCATCTCTACCTTGCAATGCCATGCTCACGATGGTTGAGTAAAATCCACACCACCCGCCCCTGTCCTCTGAGGTCCAAGTCCAAAGCTGCCTCCTCTATGAAGCCCTCAGCGATCTCAGATCAGAGCAAGGGTGAATCCCAGGGAAATTTGGTCAGCCAAGATTAACTGAGCACTTACTGTGTACCAGCTGCCTTTCTAATCTGTGTGACCCTCACAGTCTCCCTGCAGAGGAAGTGACTGTTGTGAACACCACCTCCATTTACAGATAAGAAAACCGAGCTGTGGGAGGTTGAGTGCTTTTTTCAAGGTTCCATTTCCAATAAACAGAGGAGGCAGGGTTTAAACTCTGGTAGTCCGACTGCACAGCCTACATCCTCAGCTGTTTTGCTCAGTGGCCTCGAGACGAGAGAGTGGAAAGGCCAGAGGGGAAGGTGGTGTGGAGAAAGCAGGGATCTGTTGTGGATGTGATGTTTGGAACCTGGCTTGAGAATGCATCTGTAAACGGGAAGAGCGCCTCTCTGAGCCTCAGTTTCCCTATGTGACAGGGCTTCTGGCAGAATTAAATCAGACAGTGCATGAGAAGCCATCAGCGTGGCTTGTCCCAGAGAAAGCCACAAACACAACGGAATGTGGGCTGGAGACATTCACTCTGATCACTCCTCACTATTTACTAAGCACCTGCTAGGGCACTAGACAGAACTGACCAACTGTGAATGATTATGCACTGACTGATTCACACCTTTCTAACTCCACTGGGCTGTGAGCTTCAGGAGGACAGAGGCTGGGAGAGCTGTTTGCTCACTACTTGTCCCTAGTGCCTAACATGGTGCCTGGCACATAGCTGGTGCTCAGTGAATACCTGTGCAATGATTAATGACCCTGTGTAACCAACATCCCCGACCCTGTCACTCTCTACCCCCTCGAGTGGCTTTATTCTTTTTTCAGAGCACTTCCTGCTGCCTGCAATGATATGAGACATTTCTTTGCTTACTTGTCAACTGTCCACTTCCCAGCTGGAATGTCAGCCCCATGAGGGCAAGAAGTTTGTTTTGTTCACCGTTGAATTCCTAGCACTAAAAAAAAAAAAAAAGAATTCCTAGCACTTGGAACATAGCAGATGCTGATAAATCTCTGAAGAATAGATGTGTGGGTGAGTGAAGGATTGAGTGATGGTGCCCCTGACCCCCTTGTATCCTCTCCTTCAGAGCACATTCCTGTTGTGAACAGCGGTTTCTACATCTCAGGAGCCAAAGTGGTGTGGCTCATCGTGTTCATAGTCCTGGGCAGCATCTACCTCTGTGGAATCCTGATCTACGCCTTGATCAGCCATTTCTCCACCAGGTGCCTGTTGCCCTGGGTCGAGGGTGGGGTACTGGAACCAGTGCCAGTCTCAAGAACACTTCCTTAAGAGGGAAAGGCAAAGCCGGGAGGGGAATGGACAAGCTAGGAATGGGATGTCAGGAATCATCTGGGGCAGACAGATAGGTCTCGGACCAGAAGCCAATGGCAAAGAGGGAGAGTGTAGAGGCAGTCATACCCCTAAATAGAAATGGGGTTTCACTCAGCAACTTCTTTTCATCCCAGTTTCTTCGTGTTTATGATGTTGATATGGAGGTCCACCTAGAGGAGCAGCCATGAGCAGGGTGGGTGCCAAGCATCCAGCATATGTCTGGGACATGGTAGTCACTAGTTACCAAGTGAAGTTGGGGAAACAGGTAGTACAGTCAACTGCAGGGGAAGAGATGGGTCAGAGGGAAGATTCTAATCTGGGTTTCAATCTCAGCTCTGCCTCTGGCTGTCTGGGTGGCCTTAAGTAGATCACAATCCCCTCAGGTCCTCTTCACCCACATAGAGGATGTGAAGGGTAATATCTGCCCTGAAGGGAGATATGGGGGCTAGACACAATTCTTGGAAGATGAAGCAGTTAGCAGCATTCTCGGTACTTCTCGGAATTTCTCAAGCTTAGCACTATCAATATTTGGGGCCAGATAATTATTTCAGGGGTGGAGGGGTAAGGCTATCCTGCACACTATAGCAGCATCCCTGGCCTCTACCCACTTGATACCTGTAGCAATAACCTCCATCACTCTAAGTTTAGACCACCAAAAGCGACTCTAGGCGTTAGAAAGGTCCCAAGGGCAAAATTGTGTTGGTTGAGAACCATTGCAGTAGCTGTTAAAGAAAGCAGTGATGATGGAGATGATGGTGATGCTGGTGCTGATGATGTTGGTGATGCTAAAGTAGTGGTGGTGGTGGCAGTGATGGTGGTGATGGTGATGGTGGTGATGGTGGTGGTGGTGGTGATGGTGGTGATGGTGGTGGTGGTGATGGTGGTGATGGTGATGGTGGTGATGGTGGTGGTGATGGTGGTGATGGTGGTGGTGGTGATGGTGGTGGTGGTGATGGTGGTGATGGTGGTGGTGGTGGTGATGGTGATGGTGGTGGTGGTGGTGATGGTGATGGTGATGGTGGTGATGGTGGTGGTAGTGATGGTGGTGATGGTGGTGGTGGTGATTGTGGTGATGGTGGTGGTGGTGGTGGTGATGGTGGTGGTGGTGATGGTGGTGATGGTGGTGGTGGTGATGGTGGTGATGGTGGTGATGGTGGTGGTGGTGGTGGTGGTGGTGATGGTGGTGATGGTGGTGGTGGTGGTGGTGATGGTGGTGATGATGGTGGTGGTGGTGATGGTGGTGGTGGTGATGGTGGTGATGGTGGTGATGGTGGTGATGGTGGTGGTGGTGATGGTGGTGGTGGTGATGGTGGTGATGATGGTGGTGGTGGTGATGGTGATGGTGGTGGTGGTGGTGGTGGTGGTGATGGTGGTGGTGGTGGTGGTGGTGGTGGTGATGGTGGTGATGGTGGTGGTGGTGGTGATGGTGGTGGTGGTGGTGGTGATGGTGGTGGTGGCAGTATTGATCGTGGTGACGATGGTGAAGATTTTAGAAGACACATTCTTTTTTCAAATCATTTTAGTATTTTGATGTGGAGCCTACCTGTGATCATTGCACGGTCTATCAAGAAGCTTACAGTATTGACCATCAGTGTGACAGCCCATTTGTGCTTTAGTTTGCCATGCGTAAAATGGGAGTAATACTGGTATTGACCTCACAGGGATATCTGCTATGGGGATAAAGTAAGGTATCACTGACAAATAGCTTGGAACAAAGCTTGGCACATAGTAAGCACTCAATAAAATCTTAAGTATTATTATGGATAGCATCATCATTCAATGTACTTTTCCAAACTAGTCATGATAAACTCTAGGGAGTTTAAGAGTGGTTCCAGGATATCTAGGTTATTTTTTCTTCTACAGCCTGAAAGAAGCTATCTAGCCAGGCATAAACCCCTCCTCACAACCAGGAGTGAACCGAACATCTCCACTGCCCCATTCTCCTGAGAGGTGCCACATTCTCCTTGGTCTCAGCTCTCCAGTCTGGCATGCATGAGAGCAGGGGGCTGGGAGTCAGAGAGGCCAGGTTCAGAATTAGCCTCTGTCATTTTCTAGCTGTGTGACTTTAGGCAAATATCTTCACCTCTCTGAACTCCTGCTTCTTCATTCACAAAACAGGGTTAAAGTTTCTACTTTATGTGACTGTTGAGAGGGTTCAATATAATTTCTATAAATCATTTACTCTAGTGTCTGGCATATAATAGGTGTGAAATAACTTACTATTATTATCACTAGTAATTAGGCCAAGTAGTGCCAGCTTCTTCCCCAGGTACACCCAGCCTCTTTTCCCTCCCCATGCTGCCCCATGGCACCTTCCTCCAATGACCTTAAGACATCAGAAATGCTAAAACATATGGGGAATGTGGAGGACTCTCAGTGTAGAGATTAAGCTCCCAGATTCATCCCCTGCTACTCCTGAGGTCCTTCACAAGGAGGGCTTGGAAAGAAGAAGCTGACCCCTCATCTCCCCAGGATTATCCTGCATTCTCTGTTTCCTAAGGACCTGAAATGTGACATCTTCCCTGACTTCTCCCCATAGGCAGCCCCGGTTACACGAGTGTCCACCTTAGACCATGAGGACAAGACCAGGTGGGCAAAAAGGTGAGGTGGGAGCAAGGGAGAAGGGCTGAGAGTCCCCAAAGAGATGGGCTAGGCTGGAGAGGGTCCAGGGTCTAGCTGGAAGAGACAGTCAAGAGAAGGAACCAGGGGCGCCTGGGTGGCTCAGTCGTTAAGCATCTGCCTTCGGCTCAGGTCATGATCCCAGGGTCCTGGGATCGAGCCCCACATCGGGCTCCCTGCTCGGCGGGGAGCCTGCTTCTCCCTCTCTCACTCCCCCTGCTTGTGTTCCCTCTCTCACTGTGTCTCTTTCTGTCAAATAAATAAATAAAATCTTAAAAAAAAAAGAGAGAGAGAGAGAAGGAACCAGCCCAGTCACACTGAGGCTGAGAGATAGATGGAGGCTCCTGGAAGCAGTCTGGAGTCCTCACCTAGGACTGGGTGGGAGTGGGGGGTGGGGTGACATCAAGGGCAGAGTGGCCATTGGCTGCTCCATCTGTCAATCAGAGCCAGCCAATGGGAAGTAGGCTGGGGCGGGTCATATGTGGGGCCCTGCGCTCTAATTGCGAGGCCTCTTCTCCACTAGGAAATGCGCTTCTGACTTCTTTTCTTGAGCTTGACACCCACGGCACCACCAGAGAAGATGCAAAGATGACCATTGCCAGTGACGGGGAAACGAAACAACCTATAAATGCCCAACAACCAGGAGTGGCTTAAATGGACACAGGACAGGTTGAGCTAGTCTGTGATGGTTAGAAACCACGCTGGAGAAAGGTGCTCACTGATGCAGGAAATGCTTACGACTCATTGTTAGAAACGCATAATGTAAAGCTGCACCTAGTAGGACCATCACTATGAAGAGGGGAGATTAACTAGCTGATATAATATGTACAGCATGTATGTATGTATTCTACAGTTGTATGTATACACACATATACTTATATATGTACATATATACATATATGTATATATACTTATATGTGTGTATATGCACACACATATGTGTATGTTTGTACATATATACATATATGTGTGCACATACACATATGTACACACGTCTGTACAAAAAATATGGAAAATGTTAACTATTAACAGTCTTATCTCTTAATTTCCTTCTTTGCACTTTACTGTATGTTCTAAAGTGTTTTTTTTTCTCACAAAATGTATGAACTGTTTTTATAATCAGAAAAAAAAAAAAGTTATGGGCCCAGCAGGCTTCATTGTGCTGTTCTGCTCAACTAAAACCCAGTGAAGTTAAAACACCACCAGCAGGAAGAACCAGCTAGGGTTTTTAGCACCTCCTGCCCCGCTTCCCCCAGCTGAGTCTGAGCTCGTGCTCAGACGGGCTGACCAGCGCTGTCTTCTGAATCATCTTCAACGTGTCCAGGCAGACTGAAAATAGGGGTGTGCGTGCTTATGCATCTCGGTGCCATTTCTATATGTTCTGCCCACAAACTTGCCTTTTTGCGTGGTCTCTGTGCTCACTTATTTAACCACTGTATCTATGTGTCAAAATGCATAGATTCACAGATATTTCCAAAACCACCTCATTTGAATGACAGAAAACCAAGGACATCCTGAGTTAACCACTGCATATACACATCGACAGAGGTGGACATTATACTATTTCTATATCTAAACCTGTATCTCCCCACCTTACAGTCTTAAGTATATATGGCTGTTGAATTTTACCCAAAGCCTTTTCATTATTGTTGAAATTTTTTATTATTTTTTTGTCAAAGGTAGATTTACATACAGTAAAATGCACAAATCTTACATGTATAATTCAATGAGGTTTGATAAATACATACACTCATATAACTACTATCCCAATCAAGATACAGGATGTTTTCTGCACCCCAGAAAGTTTCCTTGTGCACCATTTAAAGTTATTCCCCAGCCACACACCCCCAAACAGAGGCAGCTGCTTTTGTGAATTTCTGTCCCAATAGATTAGTTTCATCTGTTCTTGAACTTCATCTAAGCAGAATTATAGAGTATATTCTTATGTATCTGGCTTCTTTCACTCAACATGTTTTTGAAATTCATTCATGTTCTTACATGTGCCAACTGTTCATTCTTTTATTTTGATGAATAGTATTCTGTTGTTTGGCTATAATACTTTGGTTATCCATTCACTTGTTGATGGGTATTTTGTTGTTGTTGTTGTTATTGTTATTGTTGTTGTTGATGGGCATTTGAGTTGTTTCTACCTTTGGTTATTATGAATAATGCTGCTATAAATATTCATACACAAATGTTTGTGTGGACCTTTGCTTTCATTCTTCTTGAGTAAAAATTAGGGGTGGAATTTCTGGGTCATGGAGTGGGTATATTATGTTTAACTGTATACAAAACCGCCACACTGTTGTACAGAACACACAATTGTACTATTTACATCCCACCAGAAATATACAAGTGTTCCAATTCCTCCACACCCTCTCAACATTTGGTGTGCTCAGGCTTTTTGAGTTTAGCTTTTCTAACAGATGTGATAGGGCATCTCATTGTGATGAATTTTCATTTCCTTGGTGTCCAGTGGTGTTGACCACTTTTCATGTACCTACTGGCCATTTGGATCTCTTCTTTTGTGAAATATATGATTGAGTCTTTTTTCCCATTTTAAAAATTACGTTATTGTGTTAGTAACTGGTAATAATTCTTTATATATTCTAAGTTGAAGCCTCTTTTCAGGGATATATATATAGAGATATTTATATATATTTATTCCAGTTTATAGCTTGCCTTTTCATTTTCTTAGTCGTGTATTTTGATGAACAGAAGTTTTTAATGAAAAAAATATATATAATGCTTACTGTTGTGGATGTCCTACGAGAAATCTTTGCATACCCATAGATATTCTCTTAAATTTTCTTCTAGAACAATTCTGTCTGATAGAAAAATAGTGCAAGCCAAATATGTAATTTCAAAAATCTAGTAGCTATAATAAAAAAAGTGAAAAGAAACTGGTGAAATTACTTTGAATAATAGTGTATTTAACCCAATATATCTAAAATATTATCATTCCAGCAGGTAATCAATATTAAAAATTATTAATGAGATCTTTTATCTCTTTTTTTCTGCACAGTAAATGTAGCACATATTTAAAAAAAAAAGAATTACTTATCTATTTGAGAGACAGAGAGCGAGAGCGCAAGCGGTAGGGAAGGAGCAGAGGGAGAGGGAAAAGCAGACTCCTTACTGAGCAAGCCAGACGCAGGGCTCTATCCCAGGACCCTGAGATCACAATCCTAGCCGAAACCAAGAGTCGGATGCTCTAAATGACTGAGCCACCCAGGTGCCCCTAGTGTAGCATGTCTTAAATCTCATGCATAGCTAGTAGCTACCACACTGGGCAGCACAATTATAAAACCTTTATAGTTTTCACTTTTATGTTTATGATTCATCTCAGACTAATTTTTTGCATGTGACATGAGAAAGGGGTCAAGGTTCATTGTTTCCAAACCTTGACCCACTTATTCTACTGCCATGTGTTAAAAAGTCCCTCCTTGGGGCACCTGGGTGGCTCAGATGGTTAAGTGTCTGCCTTTGGCTCAGGTCATGATCCCAGGGTCCTGGGATCGAGCCCCGCATTCGGCTCCCTGCTCAGCGGGGAGCCTGCTTCTCCCCCTCCTTCTGCTTCTCCCCTTGCTCATGTTCTCTCTCTCTCTCTGTATCTCTGTGTCTCGAATGAATAAATTTAAAAATCTTTAAAAATAAATAAATAAAAATAAGAAGTCCCTCCTTTCCCAATTGAATAGACTTGGACCTGTTCAATTAACTATATATACACACTCTATTTATGGACTCTATTCTGTCCCTTACCACAGTGTCTTGATTATTCTAGCTTTATAGTAAAGTCTTATTTCTCCAACTGTGCTCTTTTATCAGACTGTTTTTGCTGTTCTAGGTCCCTCACATTTCTGTATAAACTCTGGAACCAACTTGCCAATTTATGGGTGCATACATATGTATGTACGTACACGTTTGGGAACCTTCCTCATATGTTTGGTTTGTCTCTATGGGGAGAGATCATGTCCCACTGTTTGATTCCCTTCTGAACCCAGAAGTCTACCTCTTGAGCTTGGCTTTCAAGAACAGAGGCAGAGGAAGGCCTGGTGGGAGGGCATTCCAGGAGGAGGCGTGTCAGCAGGCCAGAGCGAGGGCTGGGGCTGGAGCCCTCCAGAGTCAGGGAGACTTTGCTGCTCAGAGCACAGGGATCCAGGGCGCCTGGGTGGCTCAGTCGGTTAAGCGGCTGCCTTCGGCTCGGGTCATGATCCCAGAGTCCTGGGATCGAGTCCCGCATCGGGCTCCCTGCTCTGCGGGGAGCCTGCTTCTCCCTCTCCCTCTACCTACTTGTGTTCTCTCTCTCTCTGTCAAATAAATAAATAAAATCTTAAAAAAAAAAAAAAAGCGCAGGGATCCAGCATGTGGTCAGCATACGCTTTGTGCCAAGAGCTCTGACAGGATTTTCCTACTATAATTCTCACCACAAACTTGCAGTTAGGGCTTCTCATCCCTGTTTCACAGAGCAGGAAACTGAGGCATGGAAAGGTAGGGATTGGTCTGTCGCTTACTTAGTAAAGGGGCGGCGTGTGGCTTTGCACTTGAAACTCTCTGTTTCCAGGGCGCCTGGGTGGCTCAGTTGGTTAAGCGACTGCCTTCGGCTCAAGTCATGATCCTGGAGTCCCGGGATTGAGTCCCGCATCGGGCTCCCTGCTCGGCAGGGAGTCTGCTTCTCCCTCTGACCCTCCTCCCTCTCCTGCTCTCTGTCTCTCATTCTCTCTCTCTCTCAAATAAATGAATAAAATCTTAAAAAAAAAAAAGCTTAAAAAAAAAAGAAAAGAAACTCTCTGTTTCCAAAGCCTATGTTCTTTCCACTGTACTTACAGCTCATCACCTGCAGGCCTTTTAATTCTACAGGAATCAGCCTCTGGCCTTTTCTTTGCCCCTCAGGGGCCAAGATCACTCAATCCAGGGCTGGGTCTCCGCAGGCTCTCACTTGTGAATCCTGATCTCCGAATACTCGATACCAGGAGCCACCTGTTCCTGACAGTCCCAAGGCTCTGTCCCTTGAAAGCTGAGGGATGCATAATGGAGCTCTTCTTCCTCCCCTGAGGAGGGGGTAGCTACATCTGGGGGAAGGCTGCTTGCCCAGGATTCAATCAGGGGACCCTGAGTGGAGGGAGAGAAAAGGGAGTCAGAGCAGATCGGTGGGGACAGGATAAGGCAGAGAGTACCTGGGAGGGAAGCCCATGAATTCATTCATCCATTCATCCCACGCACATTTTTGTTGAATCTCCTCCATTCATACTGTCCTCAAATATTTAATACGTAGCACTTTATTTGTCGCTTGTGAATCTCATTAACTTCCCACAACAACCCCATCAGGAAGATGTTATTGTTGTCCTCATTTTATCACTACAAAAATGGAGGGTGAACCAAGGAAGTAGCGTGCTCAAAATCCCTGGTGAAACCAGGGTCCAGTCCAAGTTCTTCCGGACCCCAAAGCCTGGTGCCCTACTGAGGCCCTTTGTGCATGAGGCCCTGAGCTGGACACTGCATATACTATAATGGATACAGCACATGTAGGCCCTGACCTCTGGCAACTTACTCTTTCTTTCCCCCTCTCAGCTTACTTTTAACCCAGGGAGGAGGCAAGGAGTAAGTTGAACAAATAAATATCTAATTGTGAATTATTATATAATGGATGGGAACTGGGTGAGGGAGAGAGAATTACAAAGCCTTGATTCGGGTACAGCACCTGTCCTTAGGAAGCTCGCGGTTTCGTGGAAGGACACTCAGTCAAAGAAATTATGTCCCTGTGATACAGGCAGAAAAACAGCCCCTCAAAAATGCCCACGCCCTAATCCCCCAGGGACCTATGAATATGTTACCTTATATGGCAAAAGGGACTTTGGGGATGGAATTAAATTAAGGATATTGAGATGGGGAGATTGCCCTGGATTATTTGGGTGTGGTCAATGTAATCACGGGGGTTTTTCTCTTTACAAGTGAAAGGAGGCAGAGAGGGATTTGAAGACTTCTGGCCTTGAAGACAGAGACCAAGGCCATCCAGCCGCCTCCAGAAACTGGAAAAGGCAAGAAATGCATTCTCCCCTGGAGCCTCCACACGGAATTCAGCCCCGCCTACCAACACCTTGACGTTAACCCAGTGAAACCCATTTTGGACTTGGCACCTCTGGAACTGTAAGATGATAAAATTATGCTGTTGGATGCCACTAAATGTGTAGGAGCTCATTACTGCAGAGCAGCTGGTGTGGCCCGGGGGGGGGCATCTGTTTCTGTTGCCCCCTCAAAAAGAGAACACTTTAACAACACAGTTCATGCTTTTGCTCCTCCGTTTTCTCTTGATTATTCAACATAAGATGCACACACACAACCCCTTCCTGACACTGTAGTTATCGAGACCTCTGCTTAGTGAAATCTAAATGGTTCCTTTTCACTCCCCGCCTCTCTGGACTTTGCAACGGCAGGTGACCCTGTTGCATGTCTTCCCTAAATAAAAGCCTTTCTTTTCTTTTCTTTTCTTTTTTTTAAAGATTTTATTTATTTATTTGACAGAGAGACACAGCGAGAGAGGGAACACAAGCAAGGGGAGTGGGAGAGGGAGAAGCAGGCTCCCCGCAGAGCAGAGAGCCCGATGCAGGACTCAATCCCAGGACCCTGGGATCATGACCTGAGCCGAAGGCAGTCGCTTAACCAACTGAGCCACCCAGGCGCCCAAAGCCTTTCTTTTCTTAACCACAAGATATTCATCAACTGCCTTGGCAGCCACTTTGCTGGTTGCTCTCCATTTCCTGACCCCTAAGTATGAGAGGGGCCCCAGACTCTGCTTCTTCAACTTCACTTTGTGACCTTATTCACTCTATTGGCTTCATGTCATCTATAGGCTAGTGGCTCCCAAGCCTTACCCACCAGTCCATTCCCTTGCTTGAACTGTGGACTTTGATCTGATAGTGTACTTAAAATCCCTGTTCTCTTTTGTGTCCAAAACGCACACAAAACATATTCAAACTGAACTTCTCCTTTTCTCCCCCAAATCTCTTCCTCCTACAATCTTCTCAAGCATAATGATTGATGCCTCCATTCTTCTAGCTGCTCAGTGCAAAAATCTAGGAGTCATCCTGGACCCCTTTCTGTCACTCTTATCCCACCCTCAATCCATTGGCAATTCCCATTAGTTTTAACTTCAAACTTCATCTGGAATGCAATCATGCCCCACCCTCATGCCATCCTGGTTCTGGTCACCGTCATCTCTTGCCCGGAATGTTCCTCCAGCCGCCTTTCTAACTTCCCTGCGACACACAATCTCTTCTTACACACAGCAGGCAGAGGGATCTGTGAAAATGAAAGCTGGATCATGTCCTTCTTCTGCTCAAATATCTCCAGATGCCCACAGTGGACTACGTGTGCAGACATGATTTACACGTACCCTGACTTCTCCAAACTCATTTCCTGCCTGTTGGCACTTGCCTCCCTCTGTCTAATTACACAGACTTCCTGCTGGTCCTCCACTCACTGGTCTACATCCTGTTTCTGAGCATTTGCACCTGCTATTTCTTCTGCCCAGAGTGCTCTTTGGTCACAATAGATTGCAAAGTCTTGAGGCTCCTTCATGTCTTCGCTTAATCATCACTAACAAAAACCAAAAACCAACCTACGTAATGGCAGAGAATGTTTGCAAATCATATATATGAACAGATGTTAATATCCAGAATGTATAAAGAACTTCTACAACTCGGGGCACCTGGGTGGCTCAGATGGTTAAGCATCTGCCTTCGGCTCAGGTTGTGGTCCCAGGGTCCTGGGATCGAGCCCCGCATCGGCCTCCCTGCTCGGCGGGGGGCCTGCTTCTCCCTCTCCCACTCCCCCTTCTTGTGTTCCCTCTCTTGCTGCATCTCTCTGTCAAATAAATAAATAAAATCTTTAAAAAAAAAAAAAGAACTTCTACAACTCAACAACAACAGCAACAACAAAAACAAATAACCCAGTTTTTTAAGTGGGTAAAAAACCTTGAATTAGACGTTTCTCCAAAGAAGATATACAAAAGCTAATAAGCCTGTGAAAGACACTCTCCATTGCTAATCATTAGAGAAATGCAAATCAAAACTACAATGAGATATCATCTCACACCCATGAGGATGTCCACTATAAAAAGCAAAAAATAGGGGCACCTGATGGCTCAGTCGGTTAAGCATCTGCCTTCGGCTCAGGTCATGATCTCGGGATCCTGGGATCGAGCCCCGTGTCAGGCTCTGCACTCAACAGGAATCTGCTTCTCTCTCTCTCTCCCTCTGCCCCTCCTCCTCCACTAGTGCTCTCTCTCTCAAATAAATAAATAAAATATTTTTTAAAAAGGCAAAAAAAAAAAGCAAGTGTTGGTGAGGATGTAGAAAAAATGAACCCTTGTGTATTGTTGGTGGGAAAGTAAAATGGTGCAGCCACTGCGGAAGACAGTATGGTGGTTTCTCAAAAAAATTAAAATGAAAAGCAATTCCACTTACGAGTATTTATCAAAAAAATTTGAAAGGAGGCTCTCAAAAAGATATTTATATACCCATGTTCATCGCAGCATTATTTACAATAGCTAGAGATGGAAGTAACCTTAATATCCATCAGTAGATGAACGGATAAAGAAAATGTGTTGTATACCAACAACAGGATATTATTCAGTCTTTAGAAAGAAGGACATCCTGGGGCACCTGGGTAGCTCAGTTGGTTGAGTGTCTGACTCTTGATTTCAGCTCAGGTCATGATCTCAGGGTCATGGGGTTGAACCCCGTATTGGGCTCCATGCTCAGTGGGGAGTATGCTTAAGATTCTCTCTCTCCCTCTTCCTCTGTCCCTCCCCCCTCTTGCATGCTCTTTCGCTCTCTCTCTCAAATAAAAAATAAATAAATCTTTAGAAAGAAGGACATCCTGTCACAGGCTACATCATGGATAAGCTCAGAGGACATAACGCTAAGTGAAATAAGCCAGTCACAAAAAGACAAAAACTGCATGATTCCACTTATGTGAGGTATCTAAAGTCATTGAACCTACAGAAACAGAAAATAGAATGGTGGTTGCCAGGGGTTGGAGTGGCAGGGGAAGTGGGTAGTTGTTGTTCAATGGGTACTTATAGAATTTGTTTTGCAAGATGAAAATGTTCTGGAACTCTGTTGCACAACTGTACGTTTAAAGATAGCTAGGTGGTAAATTTACCACAATACATAAAGAACAACAAAAATATGAGCCATCTCCCCAGGATTCCCAGTCTCTGTGCCCTGCATTTTCCCCAAAGTACATGTCTATCCTTCACATTGTAGTCACTTATTTGTTGTTTGGTTGTTTGTTTGATTATTTGGTTGCATCCCTCTGTCTGGACTAAACTTATTGAGCCCAAGATGAAATTTTTTTTCTTTTTTTGTTTTTAGGATTTTATTTATTTGACAGATAGAGAAAGCTAGAGAGCACAAGTGGGGGGAATGGCAGAGGGAAAGGGAGAAGCAGGGAGCCCGATGTGGGCCTCGATCCCAGGACCCTGGGATCGTGACCTGAACTGAAGGCAGATGCTTAACCATCTGAGCCACCCAAGTGCCCCAAAATTCTTTTTCATAGATGAATCTTTGGCAGTTGAATGCCTGTCACTTGGCAGGTGCTCAGTAACATTTCCTGAATGAATTAATGAATGAAAGCATGCACAGTACTTTGCTCAAAATCCTCCAAAGGCTTCCAGTCACACTCTGAATATAAATGGATGAAAAGTGTAACATTTACATTGGAGCATGAAGGTTGAACAGGAATGAAGAAGTGGAAATGGGAGGGAAAAGCATTTGAGGAGAAAGGAACAGCCCATGCAAAGACCCAGAGACACAAATAACCTTGTTCAGAGGAGTGGATGGAGTAGAAAGTAAGAGTGACTTTCTGAACCATTTGGAGCTTGAGACCGAAGAAAACACGTGTGCCCCTAAAAAATGTTTTTGTATATTTTTAAAGGTTATTTTTTCACATTAAAATAATTGAAATATTACTGCAAACTTAAAGAGTGTATGTAATAAAACATTACTTTCAGTTTAAAGATTTTATTTATACCCAGACCAGAATTTTTGATAATTTTGCTTTTCTGGTTTTACTGGAAGCAAACGTAGAGAGGACGTTTTTTAAAATCAACTTCTCTGCTTCTCTCATTTTTATTTGAGAATGCTGCCATGTTTGACAATTTCTCTAGACTCATTTATGATCTTAAATAATTTTTAACTAACCCTAGTCTACTGATCCTGTCATTGTTTAGGTTTTTTGTATTTTCCTCATCGTGGATTTTTTGCCTTAATTTTGATTTTTAAAATAGTATATTAAAACATTATTTATCTGGATTACTGAGATTTTTTAGCACCGCCTTAAGTTTTGCATCTGGGACAAGTTCCTCCCTCACTCCACCCTAATCCTAGTCCTTTTGGAGAGGTAGGTGTGCTTGAGAGGTTGGAATATGCAGGGCTATAGGGTAAGGAGTTTGGACTCTATTCTCTGGGTGAGGGGTCCACAAACCATAGCCCATGGATCAAATACGGCCCACTGCCTGTGTCTGTAAAAAAGTTTTATTGGAACACATCTGTGCTCGTTCATTTACATATGGTCTGTGGCTACTTTTACTCGACAACAACAGAGTTGAGTGCTTACAATAGACTGTAATGCCTGCAAAGCCAAAAATACCTATCTAGCCTTAGATTAGAAAAAGTTGCCAACCTCTGGTCTAGACAACAAAGGCAAGCAGTTCAAACGCAGAGGAACTGGATACTGTTGGTTTTTAGATGACTGCTTAGCGTAGGACAAGGGAGGTGAGAGGCAGGGAGGTGAGAGGGTCCAGGGAAAAGATTCTGAAGCTTTGGCAATGATGGGAGTCAAATGGGGGGGGGGGGGGCTGATGCTAGCTCTCCTTAAGAGGAAAAATAGACAAGACATGGTGAATTTGGGGCTGTAGGAGAAGAAAGGGAGGACAGAGAGAAGGTGACTCCTCCATGCCTGGCCTGAAAGAAAGAAGAGGGGGTGGTTGTGCCGTCACAAAGATGGGGAATCCTTAAGGAGGAGGAGGAGATAAGGAGAGCAACTTTGGCCATGCTGAGCGGAGCAATCCTGGGGGCCATCCTAGGGGGAGGTGTCCAGGAAGGATGCTCAAAGGCAAGATGCCCAGGTCACTCACCTGAGAGACTGACCTTGTGACAACACTTGCACCTTCCATGCCCATATTCCTGATGCCAACTGCTGGCCTTGTGGCTTTCTTCCTGCAGGACCTCACTCTGAGAGAAGAGACCAGAGAGCCTTTCAGTCTGGCCAGCTCAGGGTGCTGTAGGCAGACTAACTCCCTCCTCTGTTCTCTCTTAAGGGGCTGGAAGGGTGATGGAGGTAGGAGAGCGGTGGTCCCGTTCTGGAGACCCCAGTGTTGAGAACGCAGGCTTCCCCATCCTGGACAGTGGGGCCAGAGTTCTGTGACAGACTCACCCAGGTGCCATCGACTTCCTTCCTGTCCTTGCTTCAGTGTCTTGACCCATCCAGGTCCCTCCATTCTGTGCCCGCCTGCCCTTTCCACCCCAGGACAATCCCTCCAACCCCAGGGTCAGTGCTCACGTGATGATGATGATGGAGAGAAACAGGAAGAGCAGAGCCATAACACCTGCTCCCCCAGCTGCCCCCAGCATCCTCTCTGAAAAAGACCATGCTTTTCCTGCAGACAGATTGGATTATTGGTCATTCCTCTCCAAGAACTCGGTACCTTCTCCCACTCCCTGTAGGACCCCAGATTCCTGTTTTCCAGCCCCTCCGCCAGACTCCAAACAGGGGCACCTGGGTCTTGGGGAAGGGATTAGGGCCGGATGAGGGAGGCATACGGCGGGGGAGGGGGCGGCGCTGGATTGCAGCCTGTCTTTATTTAAAATGCAGGTATTTCGTTCATGTAATATTTATTTTGCATTCATTTATATTTTAAAAAAACACTGCATTGCAGTATTACTTCTCATTACTAAGGTTTTTTGGCTTCTCCTTAAATTTTTGTGCTCATGGTGAGCGTTTCACTTGCCTCACCTTCCTCCCTGCCCCACAAATCAAGGATCTGTGTCCCCGGACACACCTGTGAAGGCCCCGGGCCCCTCTCCTTCAAGACCCACGTCCTTCCCCCTGGCTTCCCCTCCCAGCCTTCACCCCACCCTACCACCCTGATCTGGCAGGAAGAGGACAGTGAGACTATAGGTGGCAGGGAATATCTTGGCCTCACAGGGGAGCACAGACCAGAGCTGAGCTCCCCTGTAAGGCTCAGGGGTTTCTGGGGGTCCTGGGGGTGGTGCTGTTGTTCTCCTCCAGCCCCCCCCCCCCCACAGGTGCACTCACTCTGCAGGGAGAGCCTCAGGGAGACATGCTGGGAGCCCACCAGGTTCTGAGCTCGGCAGGTGAATTCCCCTTCATCTTTCTCCTGTACTTGAGGCAGTTCCAATACCCCAGGGCTCAAGGGATTTGAGGAGCACAGGGTCAGGCTCCCCCGGGCCCAGCTCAGCCTGGCAGGGGGGTTGCTATTGACAACACAGACCAGGAGCAGGGACTGGTCCTCCAGGACTGAAAGAGATGAGCCGTTCTCCAGGGTTGTGGGTGCTGGAGAAAAAGAGACAGAGGGTTAGAGAGACAAAAAGATGGAGAGAAAGCAGAAGGACTTGAAAACAGACTGGATGAGGGGACAGAGAAACAGAAGTAGGTTGAAGTGCAGGAAAAACCATGCTTTTTTCCCCTTGTTGGTGGGAATGCACACTTGTCCACCCTCCATTCAGGACAACTGGCCACATAGCTCAACTTGGAAAGAACATAAAAGCTCCATTTTGCTTTTAGGAGTTTATCCCACAGACATACATACACACAGTTGTGAAAGGAGACACAAGATTACTCATTGCAGCATTTTGGCTAATAGAATAAAATGAATGCTGTGATTTCCCATTAGGAGAAGACACACATAGAATCAGAATCCATCCACGGGATGGATCGACTCCACAGTCTAGGAGAAGATTGAGGGCAGTCTATACTACTGATATCAGAGGACCCTCAGATCCTCTAGGCAAACACACCAAGGCTCAGAGTAGTCTGTGGACACGGGTCACTTCCCAGGAGGGGACTGGGTATCTGAAGACAGATTTTGCTGTGCATTTTGAAAGTCTGTCTATGTGAATATATTAACTATTATTAGGGAGAATAAAAGATGGGCCAGGAGGAGTCATCAGGAGATGCATGACAAGGGACAGATCTGCTGGGTGCATGTTGCCCTGTTCTCTTCTCCTGATAATGGGGTGGGGTAGAGTGCAGAAGGTGGGGGAGGAGGCGGCTGAAGGGGACTGCTGCTCACAGAGCCATGGAGGCTGGGGAGGGGGATAACCCCTGGGTTCACCCAAAGGGGGGACCCGGCCCTACCTTTGCTCCCCACACCCCAGGAGGAAGCTCCATCCTACCTGTGCCATTTCCTTGGGAGACAGTTACTGTCAAGTTCTGCGGAGAGTCTGGGACAGAAAGACATGGTGGATTCATGTTAATGGGGAAGGCTGGTGGACATTGGCCTTCTGTCCCCAGGAGCTGCATAAATGGGGAAAGAGTGGAGACAGGTGTCCTCCTAACCCTCCCCCAGCCTGGATTTTGGGACCAGCATTCAATGTCCCAGGCCCTGACTCCCCACCCCACTGCCCCCAGGACCCCATTAGGGACCCAGGGGGTCCTGGCCTGGCTCTCACAGGACACATTGAGGTGGATGGTCCTCATCGTGGTCACTCTGGCCCCAGGCAAGGTCACTTGACAGGTGAGGGGCATGCCATGGTCCTGGGGCCGTGGGATGAGGGTGAGCACCGAGGAGAGGTGGGTCCTGGGGTCCAGGGAGGTGAGGGCCACTGACGTCCAGGAGAAGATGGGGGGCGTGCCCCGCTCACAGGCCCAGAGCACAGAGCAGGTCAGGTTCTCAGGGCGGCCAGACTCCAGGGTCCCTGGGATGAGGATGTCAGGTGTGTGGGTCAAGGCTGTGAGGAGATGGGGAGACACGGGAATCAGAAGGAGGGTCAAGGGGAGGCCCCGAGAGAAGTCTCAGGGTTTGGTTCAGCTCCCGCCTCTGAGTCCTGACATGGTTACCCCCAATCCCTCCCAGGAGGGGAGTTCCATCCCAGCCCTGCGCTGGGACCCCCATCCTTCCCCTGTGGCCTCACCTGGAGTCTGCTCCTTACCCGTCACATGCACGGAGAGCTGGTTCTTTAGGTAACTATATTTCATAGAAGGCCCTCTCTCCACCCTAAAGAAGTATGTCCCCGAGTCCCTTCTCTGTGCATCTCTGATGTCCAGGGAGCAGTTGTCGTCCCGGGGGTCCCCGAGGAGGTGGAATCGGCCCTGGGTCTCCTCCTGCACTTTACGACCTGGGTTGTTTGTGGCCACTGGAGCATCCTGCTCTACACTGGCTCCTTCCCGGAACCAGTAGCCGAGAGCTGAGGTAAAGTCAGACCCTTGGTCCTGGGGGTGCGAGAAGCTACAGGGTACTCGCACACATAGGCCCTCCTGCACGGCCACTGAGCCATGCACTTGCAGGCTGTAGCCCCACCTCTCAGACCACCTCTGGCCATCAGCCCCCTCCCTCCTCCAGAGCAGGGCCAATAGCAGCAGGAGCATGTCCGGGCTTGGCAGTGCCAGGGTCCCCAGGGTGTCTGTTTCTCAGGGTTGGTCTCTCAGGAACTAAAAGTTGCAAGACTCAGAGGAAGCCCCAACAGGAAGATGCAGGTGATGTCAGAACAGTGACCCTCCTTAGAGGAGGAACTTCACACCCAGATGCTGTCAGGGCCAGGACAGCCATTGGGCATCAGCCATCTGCCACCACATGTCCACTCCTGGGGACCCTGGACCTAGAGGCCAGAGAGGGTGAGAGCCCTCAGGGAGCTAAATTCACCCCCTGTGCAGGGCTCGAGCCCCATCTCCCACCTCCCTGCTGATACAGCCTCCCTCAGGAGTTGTTTTCTGCAAACTGAAAACGGGTCCCTTCTGGCCAGACCCCCTGAATCGCAGGCTGTACATGTCTGTGGAAGTCACAGGGATACAAGAGATGGGGGAGGCCAGGGCTGGGAGTGTGAGGAGGCCGACTGTTTTCCCTCCCTTGGCATCCACACAGTGGGCATCCCCTCCCTGCTCATGAGGTCACACACTAGCCACTGACCCAAGAGTCACTGTCCAGTGGGGAGACAGCAAGTGTCCAGCACCTGGAGCTCCCTGTGACAGGGGGCCAGAGGCAGAGTGAGGGGCTGCTGTCCCCCCAGGTTGGAGGTTGTTACAGAAAGCTTGGGCAGAGGGGACACTCAGGCCGTGCAAACGAAGACTCCAAGGATGTTAAGGGGGACCCGACTCAAAGGAGAGGGAACCTGAGGCTGTTATTGTAAGCGGGGTTGGTATGGGGAGAAGTGCAGAAGAGAAGGGGCAGATTTCGAAAGGGATAGAAATGTCCGTTTTCCCCCTTCGTCGTGGCCGTCTGGCACCAGGATGATTTCTTCACCGCTGGTATCTCACGGGGCCATGCTTCTCTTCATTGCTTCAGAGCATGCAGGGTCTGGCAACCTCTGGGGCTTTGCCAATGCAGGGTCTGCTCCCAGGAGTCGGGTGTGCAGGGGACACGGAGTGAGGAACACCAGCTAGGTGTCATCCACGCTCGAGATGGTAGGGATTTTGTGAGAGAAGAGATGTGCCCTTGAATTCACAGAAGGTTAGTTTTTTGTTTTGTTTTGTTTTGTTTTGTTTTGATTTTATTTATTTATTTGACAGAGAGAGACATAGCGAGAGAAGGAACACAAGGGGGGGGGGAGGGAGAAGCAGGCTTCCTGCCGAGCAGGGAGCCTGATGCGGGGCTCGATCCCAGGACCCTGGGATCATGACCTGAGCGGAAGACAGACGCTTAATGACTAAGCCACCCAGGCGCCCCCAGAAGGTTAGTTTTAACTGTGTCTGGGGGTTGGGAGAAGGTTCTGGGAATCCTGGTAGGTGGTACCCTCTTCTACCGATGTTGGTTCTTTTGACACATTTTTTGGGGGGAAAATATAAGATACACACAAAGAAGGATGCCCACAAAAACAACTCAGTGATTCATCACAATATAGAAATAGAGCATTGCAGGCATCTTGGACCTCCCCCCGGGTCCCCATCCCTATTGCACACCCCACTCCCCCCCAAAGGAGCCCCGAGAGTCACTTTAATGCTAATTGTTCCCTTGCTTTTCTTCATAGTTTTATCACCCAAGCATGCTGCCTTTAATACTTTGGCCTTGTACGTGTTTTTCTTAAGACTTTGTATGCATAGGAAAAATTACACTCTGTTTTCTTCTATTTAACTTCATGAATCTGCCCATCCCATATTATCCCTTCCCAGAACCATTACCCATAATGAAGGGTACAGTCAGTGCTGGGGTCACTGAGAAGGGAAGGGGCAGGATTTGAGAATGCATATGCACTCCCACACCATCAACAATTCCTGCATTTGCAGCCGTGTGTCCCCCCTGCAGCCCCATCCCCCCTCCCTGGCCCCCTGTCCTGGAAAACCCATTCTCTCCCAGCAGGGTCAATTGGAGCATCTCTGGGGTCAAAAGGGCTGGGCCATGCACAGTCTGTTTCCGTGGTCCCCAGTTTGTAAAAAAAAAAAAAAAAGCAGAATGAGAAGGAGAGACACAGGGAAGCCACACAGAGAATCTAGCTGTGTGCAAAAGAGAAATATAACCCACAGGCCATCAGCACTGGGAGGCCTTCTAGCCCCACTTTTCCGACTTTCAGAAGACGCTGAGGTCCAGAGTGGGCAAATGAATTGCTCAGATCATACCGGTGCCCTGTCTTATGCACCACTGTCTACACAGGGACCCCCTTCCTCAATCTTTGTCAGCCCAGGATTCATTGAGCTGGGAGATGGGTAGCTTATGTTAATCTGACAGGGAAGAATTATTAACTCTTCCCATGGGGTGAGAGAGGAAATTTCATTCATTCATTCAACAACCATCTACATTGTGTCTTCAGGTTTCCAGTAAGGGGGTGAGTATGAAAGATCTAGCCCTTTTCTTTGAGGGGAGCAAAATCTGGTTGAGAGACAGATTATCTGACAATTCCAATGACATAGGGTAGATGATCGGGAGGGGAGAGGCACAGGCTGGGGATGCGTGGGGCTCTTGCTCTTCTGGACTGCAAGGTGAGTTCTCAGGGACAAGTAGACATGGTAGGGAGTTTCAGGCAACTCAAGGGATGTGAATTTCACAGGTGATCTTGGTACCCTGAGAATTTCTGGACTCTCAGGTATTGTGTTCTCAATCCCACTCAGTCTTCCACTGTGCTGGAAATCTTCCTCCAGGTACCAAGTTTTGTGCTGTGTGACCAACATCACCTCTGCCCCAGGATCCCTCCGAAAACGCGATGGTGCTGTCCGTGGTGCTGTGGGGCCACCACCCATAGGGGGCGCTTTCTGTGCGCAGGATCCCTCCGAAAACGCGATGGTGCTGTCCGTGGTGCTGATTCGGAGGGCAAGGCTGACATCGGGCATGTCCACAGCTCTGTGGAGGGGCCCGATCACACAGAACAGGGATCCTAGGTCTGGAGTCAGGGCAGTCAGCCTGTCCGATGTGCTGGGGAGGGCTCGGCTCTACCTGGGAGGGGAAGCTCAGGGGAAAGAGAAGACCTGAGTCTCTCTTCCTTATCCTTCTATCCACCCTCAGAAATGTCCTACGGATAATGCCAGGCTATTGTCACTGGTCCAAGCGCAGGGAAAAATGAAGGTTCTGTGTTGCCCTTTTACATATCTGGTTCCATTTCATTTTCTGAACATCCCTGACAGAGAGGGGTAATGCCCCTAGAGGAGGCAGCCAACACTTAAGACAGATGAGTAGCTGTAGGAACTAGCCTCCAAGGACAACCCCCAAACAACCCCACCCCTCCTTTATACAAACATGAAGCTCCTCTCATTAGGAAATAGAGTTTATTATTATCTCCTCCTCTTGAATCAAGGTTGGGCCCACGACTGCTTTGATCAACAGAATGTGGAGGACAAGTTGTTCCAAGACTCATACATTAAGAAGTCCTGGTAGTTTCCACTCCTGCCTTGCAGATTCCTGGGCATCTGTGTAAGCAATCCGGGGACCCTGATGGAAAGAAAGGCTAGATAGAGGAACCCTGAGGGTCAGACACCCAGCCCCAAAATCTCAGCCACCATCTCAACCTCAACATGACTGCCTGAAAGAGACGAAAGCAAGCTAGCAGTGCAACTGCCCAGCTGGGCTCTGGCCAATTTATAGCACCAGCACTGTGAAACAGAATAAAAGTTCAGGCTACCAGGTCATAGGGTGGTTTGATGCGCAGCAATAGATAAGCAGAACAGTAGCCCGCCCAAGTCATAGCTAATAGGGAAAAGGTAACAGGAGATTTACTGGCCTGATGAATTTTCCTACTTACTGTATTTCAAGGATGGTTCTTAAATGGTGATCTGAGGCCTTCATTTGACCTGAGGACTACATTTCCGAGAATCCCCTTCCCCTTTTGCTTCCAGGTTTTTTTTCCCTAGTTAGACAATGATTTTATTGTTTGAGTACATAGTGAAATTTATGCAACCAGGGCAGAGGCTGTGGATGACTCGTATTTCCAACTGGGGGGAGGGGGGACTCATTTGGTCTCATAATATCGAGCCAAGCAGTGAATACGGCTCTCGATCAGAATCAGTCAGAATTTAGCATCTTCATCCTTTCTCTTCCTCTCAAGATGCCTTTGAACAACAACAGTTTTCTTAATCAAATGGTAGAGATCCTCAGGAAGATCAGGAGCAAGTCCTTTGGACTTAAGAATTCTTAAGATTTTATTGCCTGTCACAAAACACACCTGCGCAACACACGGGCGTCACTTAGGATCACGCCAATTTGTGGGGGAGTCAGGCCCTTCTTGGCCAGTTTGTAGACTTGCTCCTTCATGTCATCAGACACAGGTGGCCCAGAGAGAAGTTTACAGTGACATGGAAAGGATCCAGGGAAACTGCGTCCCTAGCATTTCTCTCCTACTAAGACATTGTCCCAGGATCTCTTTGACCTGACAACTGGGGCCATTTGCCTGCTCACAGGACCCCATCTTCCCTGAGCAAAGGACAGGATATGGCCCACCATCTCAGGACTCAGAATGACCAATGCCCAGATGGGTCTTTCTGTCTGTCTGTGTGTATATAGTGAACATTGGTTTCCTAGGCCAGGGTGATGATTAATTTTATGTGTCAACTTGCCATGGGCCATGGGATGCCCAGATTAAACATTATTTCCGGGTGTGTCCGTGAGGGTATTTACACATGAGATTAGCATTTGAATCAGTGGACTCAGTAAAGTAGCTAACCCTCCCAGATGCCAGTGGGCACCATCCAATCTGCTGAGGGCCTGAAAAGAACAAAAAGCAGTGGAAGAGCAGACTCATTCCCTTCCTGCCTGCCTGTGAGCTGCGACATTGGTCTTCTCCTGCCCTTGGACTGGGATTTGCAGCATCAGCTTCCCTGGTTCTCAGGCCTTGGGACTCAGGCTGGAATTACAACCCTGGCTTTCCTGGGTCCCCAGCTTTCAGGTGGCATATTGTGAGAGCTCTCAGCCTCCATAATTGAGCTAATTCTTCATAGTAAATCTCTGTTTG